TGGGAGAGAGAGAGAGAGTTGAGTAAAAAGATTTCTCAATGATGAGGGAGAATGAGATTTACTTTCTATTGAAGCTCTTGGATGATGCCATCCACTATTCAGACGCTGATTTATCACATGAATGAATTCAAAACTAAACCTAAATCACTGATCACTGATCACTGATCAGAGGCAGAGCGAAATGTTGTTCGATGACGCAAAACAGAGAGACTCTGACGATCGGCAATTCCCTTCCGGATCGGGTGGCTGCGAGCTGCCGCTTGTGTGTACCCTAGGGGGGCCCTGGCATGGAATGAAACTGTTGATTGAACAATCAGCTGCCGGGTTGTAAACAAAATATCGTTGTTCCACTTCGATTTGTCAGCGACGCAACAGCGTCATTGGCTCATTCATTTACAGATTCAGATTCAGAGATAATGAGCTGCAAATGAAACGATGGCAAGCATTTCGCTATAGATTCGACGCGTGGGCGGCGGCCTGCCACATGGTGCCGCCGCAACGGCATTGTAAGGTCACTGGCGTCATCGGCAGGCGACGACATGGCCATTGTCTGTCTGCCAAAGTAATCTCTCCATTAAGCTCAACTAATCGGAACTATTACAGGGGATTAGGAGGTGGCTTGCTGCTGGGGGATTACACAGCCTGAACAGCCTGACCCTTCCGTCTGTTTCTGCATTGGGTGCTCCGGCAATTGCAAGCAATTATTCCACAACTGTACATATGTACATACATATATGTAGATGTACATACATATTTCCACATGTTCCCGAATCTGTTCTGTTGATTGATGTGCTGAATGATCATTTTGAATTCATTTGTTTGCCACCCAACCAACAACCACCCAGCGGATGATGACTAATGCTCTGCGTTTGCTTTTTTTGGCACAGTTTTCAGACCACAATCCTCACTCATCCGCATCCGTAGTGGCGGCATAAGCTAATATGCCCACACCTACACCAACACCAACACCAACACCCACAGGTACACAGTGGCGGGCACAGATATGCACACAGGCAGGTACACAGTGGCGGGCAACATAGTAGGACAGGTGGTTGGAGGTAGGACAAGTCTCTGTGCTTAAGATTCAAGCTAAAGGCGTTCCTGTTTCTATAGTTTTCGGAGAGTTCTTTGGAAATGCTGATTGCTTCAACTTCACTTCGTCCATTCTGTTTTCATTCGATTTGTCTTTGGGGGTCACGCATGCTGCTAACTATTTTGATTGCCACTTTTTGGGCGATGATCGAGTGTGTGCCTACACCTACACCTACACCTACTTCGTCCAATTCTTCTCACCTCTCCACACAGCTGTGGCGCACCCCCTTCTGGCGGCGTCTCTGTGTCCAAATTTTGCTATGATTTCATGGTTTGCTCGTCGTAAATGTTTTTATTTTGTTGCTGCTTTGCTTTTGCTTCTGTTTTTTGTTGTTGGATTCTTTAAACGTATTTTATGCTCCTATTTTTGGAACTCGGCCAGTTTGTTTTTCTCTGCTTATGCTTTGCCTTTGCCTTTTGCACGATTTTCCAATTTTACAATTTTCATTTGTGGCGTTATTAAATTAAAATTCTGCCTGTCCTCAGGCTCAGGTTAGCTGGCTGGCCTCTGCCGCTGATCAACATTTTATTATTTCTACCTCATGTATTTTTAGAACCGTTAAGTAACGGCCCCAACAATAACGAAAAACAAGAAGGGAAATAACGGCTGCTGCGACGGTAGTCGAAGCTATGCATACCCTTTCGAGTTGAGACTGGTGTAAGGTTTCTGCCGCTACTTATTATTACCTGTGTTCCATTGGGACATATTTCAACGGGGATTCAAAGGGGAATCTTAAAGAGGGATTTTTTAGAGGGAAATAAGGGAAGAATATACATATGTATGTTTACAGAATCTATAATTCGGATCAATGTGTAAATACCCTCTCCAAGGGTATTGCAAGATGCAGAGACAGTGTACGATGCTGTGTTGCTGATCTTTCAAGTTTGTTTCATCTCATGATGGAAATATACATAAATAAATACACACACACACATGCATGTTGCTGAGGGAAAGGTACATAGACTGGCGTGGGGAGTGGGGTTTGACTTTTGTGCAGGTATATTTAGCATAAGATCCAACATATGCCACGCAGATGCAGGCTGTGTTGGCAGGTAAAACTATAAGCACACGAAATTTAAGGGAAGAAACGATGAATCGACTTTTTGTTACTTTCAAAAGTAAGGAGAAACTTTACCTTTTTGGGCGCCAATTTGGCCAATAGTTATAGCTAATTGTGTGTGAAATTTTACTTGAAATTACATTTCAAAGCTCAACAAAACCCAATCCCGCTCTCGGGTATTTGTTATCTTACCTGCTGGGCGACAGGATCCAATATGCTTTCGATGGTTTTTGTGTGAAAGACGGGCATTTTGGCTTTGGTCTTCTTTTGTTTATATCAAAAAGTATTTCCCTTTCTCTCTCTCTCTTTCTCTCAGTGTATCTCTTGTTTTTTGTACGGGCAGCTATTGTGTTTGTTTTTGTATGCTGCAAAGAAAGAAAAACATTGAAATAAGCTAAGAGAATTCTTCGAAGAACAAGATAAGACAAGACATCCCAAGGGGTTCGGTTATCTCTGTGTGGATTCCCAACCTATCCGTAATCAGACGAGCAACAATCCCATGAGCAACAAGATTCCCCCTAAACATTCCATTATCCAGTTAGGGGGACTCTAATTAATTCCCCCCCTTAACAATATCCCAACCTTTTCGCTGTGAAATTTGTTTTTTTTTTTGCCAGTGGTGTGGTGTGGTGTGGTTCTGTTTTGGGGTCTGTTCGTTCGCTCGCTCGTTCGTTCGTTCGTTTTGTCCGTTTGTTTGGTTTTCGAACGATGACGCATCTTGTGAGCTCATTCCAAGGCGGAGGGATATCGATGCCCAGACTGCAGCACAACACGACACAACACACCGATACAATACGGATTGTACAAACCGTATTATTGGTGACGTGACGCATTAGCCCGAACTTGGTCCGCACCCTTTGCGTGCTTTAGTCCCTTATTGGGGCGTCTGTCTGACCACTTAAATAATTGGCATTGATATATTTACAATGAAAAGTGGCAAAATGACGGGGAAACAGAAAGTTAAATCCCAGCCAAGAAGACATTGAAAATACAATTTCCTACTTTGCTGGTGCCGTGGGGGAGCAAGGCCAGTGGCCAGGTCACTCTCTCTCTCTCTCTCCCTCTTCTTCCACCGTTGTCCAGAGCATGGGGAAATTACTAACAAGGTGATGTTGTCCGCTATGCGAGGACCACTAACTTATTCACAATGCTCAGGCCAAGACACGCTCTAGAAAGAGATGGAGTAGAGAGAGTTCCCTGTGGTATCAGCTTGTTGGTAATTTCACCGTTAGCTGGTTCTGGTATATCTGTGAGTACATTCTTCCGGATCTTTAGAGCCTATGTCTATGCCATGTGTAAATATCTAAATATATGTTTGGACGGACGGACTGTATCGTTGCTTGTACTATTTCTGGAAATACTTTGTGATGCTCTACTGCCACTTATGGAATTTTGCGTTCGATTGATTTTCGCCATTTGGCGGCTGGCAGCTCGAAATTCATAAATGTACAAAGACAGCCACAGCCGCAAAACAATATGTGGGCTGGGGTTTATTGACTTGGGGCTGTTCGCCTATAACCATTTATGGCCAACAAACTGTTGCAACCGATAGGCCAGGCCAGGCCAGGCCACCGTCCGATGGTGACAGCGGAACAGGTTGATCCGATCGAGGGTCACGCCAGTGATCCCCGCCCGATGTGAAATGATCCGACTCGCCTCAAGGCGAACCGCTCAGTGGGAAGGGAAGGGAAGCTCTTCAAGTGCCGCTAAACCAGGAGGGGGCAGGCGCAGGCACCGCTTTGCGTTTATTAATGACATGACAACAAATGACTTCATGGGGGATGAATTTGGATTGGGTGAGTTAAAGAGTCGCAGTGATCGTTGCACGGAGAGCGAACGCACAATAACAGTAATATTAATGCACGCGTGCGTCCCCCATGTGCACACACACACACACATGTTTCAACAATTGCCGCTACACCCATGCATGTACATCACATATGCATATGTATGCATATTTAGGGCAAATCTTTGGGTTGTGTACAAAAACACACACAAAGAGGTAAAGGGAGAGGGAATGCCTCTTTACATTCCCGTTTATTCAATTGTCTCATTAATTTGTATGATTGCATATTCATCCGCTTCTGATTGTGCTTCTGTTCTTTGGCTCTTTTTCATCTCTTCGCACGAATTATTAATCACAACACCAATACACTGACACACAACAAACTCGCATTGAGCGAGTGGCAGCGACACGTTCACAGATACAAAAAGAACACACAAAAAATATAAGAAAATTAAAAGCAATGAATAAATAGTAATAATAATAAAAAAAAAACACAATATTGCTGTTTGGTTTCTGCTGGCGGTTGGCGGTTCTCTTCACTCGTTTCTCGACTGTCAAATCAACAACTAATTTACGGTTTACGGAATATACGCTCCGACAGTGTGTACGTAAATATGTATTGTATGCTCTTGTGCACATGTGTATGTAAATATGTAGGTGCTGCCCGCTATTTACTTTTGTACGTTCGCTTTTCGCTTTTCTGGCCGTCGTCGCTTGTGCAGCTGCGCCCCAACTTGCTTGCCCGACTTTTGAATACTGACAGAAAGGTTCCGATTCCAATTCCGATTCCGATTGGGGGGCACACACTCATCCAGAGTGCGCCAGCAGCGGTGACGCTGTTGTCGCCGCGTTGTGTTTGTTGTTGTTTCTCAGCTTATTCTTCTCTTTTCTTCACCCTGCTTCTTCTGCTGCTGTTGCTGCTTCTTCTTTTACTGTTCTTTGCTCTCTGCTGTTGCTTCTTCGTCATTCTGGGATCTCTCTCGCTCTCTCTTGTTGCGCCAGATAAAATGTCTGGCCCTATCGATAAGTGATATCGATGAGTATTCAAATTCTAGAAAAATGATCGCATTAAAAAAAGAGAAATACCTTAAATTACATTAAATAATACACCGTCATAATACGATTGCATAATGGTTGTGCCCCAACATGCATGCGATCTGTGTGTTACGTCGAACTACAACACCAGCACCAGCACCAGCACCCATGTACTTAACGCGGCCTGCACAATGCAACATATCTACAATAAGTGGGTATTAAACACATACCGCACCTCAGCTCAGATTCGCTTATTTCCGTTGACTGAGTTTGAGCGCAGAGCCTCAGCTCTTGCAGGTGCCAGTGCAGGCCTCCGTGCCTTCCGTCTGAAGAAGTTCGCACGAAACAGCGGAAAAAAAACAGAAGACAAAACAAAAACAAAAACAGCAAACTCCACCGAATACCCCATGCCCTGTGACGTGGGACGTGCGATGGCAGACCTGAACATCCATAGATACTGATTTTATTTGATATTTCTGCTTGTAGATACTCAGAGGATGATTGCTATCGCTTGTTTAGGGTAGGGTGTCGGCGGAGTGCGGCCAATTCGCTTTGGGTGAATCCACCCACAAGCCATGACACAGGCACAGCCGCAGCCGCAGCCGCACAGGCCGCAGCCACAGCTACAATGAAAATTGTGGGTTTGGGTGGTTGGGCGACGCGTGCGCATGCGCATTGCACGGAAGCAAAACAAGCTGGCGCCGGGCATTCCACCAACCCAACGCCACATTCCAGCCACATTCGCAGCCCCCAGACCGAGCCCCCAATCGACTGTCGGTTAATATATAAATTAAATAGTTGCATGGGGGCCAGCAACCAGAGCACTTGGAGCCTTTACAGCGGGCACATCGTCGTCAGAGTTAGAGACTTGGGAACGGAAATCAAGCGGCATGGATAAACGCAGTGTGGTAAGCCAGAAAACAGCCAAAAAGGATTACGATTACAGCACTCTCTCTCTATCTCTCTCCTCTTCGTCTTTGCAGCTTCTGAGGTTGGCTGTCGTGATAGCGATGGTTCTTCTATTTGTGTGTGTCCAGGAAACGAATGCTGGGTAAATATAATAACAGGAGCAAAAGGGGCACGGCCATGGTGAAATTACTTACCACAGGGAAATCTCCTTTGGGGACTAATAGCTCGGACGCCAACCCTTTTCCATAGCGGATAACGTCACCTTGTTAGTCATTTCACCATGGGCACGGCACAGCTCTCAAATCTCACCTCCCCCACCCCCCTTGCACTTGCAGAAGTCAGCAGAAGAAGAAGAAGATCGTGATACACGTGCCAATTCACAAGAAAATCGAGAAGCACACCCACACGGTGGTGAAGCACGTGCACCACCACCACAAGCCACTCGTTCTGAAAGAGGAGAAGAAGGTGATTCACGAGGATCATCGACCCATTCAGATCCATCAGACCAAGGAGCTGGTGCACCACCACGAGAAGCACGATCACCATGACCATCACGATCATCACGATCACCACGAACATCATGAGCAGCCGCACCAGCACCAACATCATCACGCGGTGCCAGTGTCAGTGCCGGTGCAGGAGGTGGATGAGCAGGAGGAGGAGGAGGAGCACATCCATCACCATCACACGTACGAGCACAAGGGACGGGACGATTTCATCAGTCGTGGTGGTGATGATGGGAGCAGCAGTGAGGAGCGGCGCTGACTATGCGGACCATGAGTGTCGATTGTCGAGTGCCGAGAGAGCCGGAACGGGACGGTAGCCCCCCACAGACTGATCTTAACGTGAAAGCAACCAAAATAAAATGAGTGCCCAAGGATGCCTTTTCCGAGGGTTTTCTTTCTCATTTGTGATTTTCTTAGTTCTAGTTCTGCAATATTTGTATTTGCCTTTTTTTTACACTTTTTTTTTTATAGTTTAGGATGCAGTTTAAGTGTGGCTATGGCGACAATCAATAAATATATGAATGACTAATTTTAAATTTGATTTTGATAGCTGCACGATAGGTTGGCGCGCGATAGTTGTCTAAAGCTTCATGGTTAAATTCCAAGTCCAAGTAATATATCGGAACGAGACTCTAAAGCGACATGCCTGACAGGTTTGATTGAAACTTGCAAGAGAATCAATCAAGTCACTAAAAATCGTTTAGAATTAAAAGATATCGCACAGATATCGCAAGATATCGGTATATAGTACATACAAAGCATATGAAAAGGTTAAAAGCATGCCAGTCCAAGACAAAATCATTCTTAATTATTTAAAGCAGCTGCTAAAATGGCTTTACAATATTAAGTATAGCAAATATTTTTTTGTAGTTGACCTTCTTAGTTTTAACCTTATTGGGCAATCAATTGAGGAAAACTATATCATAAAATCGGCCAATCCTGCGGGGAATTAAATGATGATTCGAGTAAAAATACATTTTTAAAGCTGAGAGTCCCAACCAGGTGGTAATATCAAATAGAACATCAAAATCGAGGAATATAATTTAAGATTTACGGTATATTTACAGTATATTTTTAAAATGAAAGGGTACTTCGCGAGGGTCTGTCGGTATATTTGATCGATAATTCCGTGGTCACACTGAGCAGCAGCAGCACAGAGCAAAAAAGTAAAACAAAAGAAAAAAATTACAAGATTGGGTGCGATATTCGATTTTCGTTCGTTCTTCTGCTGCATTTTCACATTTCGCGTTTAAGCCGTTGTCATTACACTCGTGCAGCGGAGCGCCCAGTCATAGCACCCACAGTAGCAGCAGCCGCAGTCGCAGCCGCAGCCGCAGCAGCAGCAGCAGTAATCAGCATTGCATTCGCTTTCGCTCTGCATGCACACAACCCCCCACACCCCCCGCCCACACAGAGCAACGCCTTCGTCCCTGTGCCCATTCAAGTGTTGTTCCTGCCAACAAGCCAACTGCTTGCCCAGCCAGTGTCCAGTGACCAGATCGAACGATTTCCCCGGAATACTGACTAAGCAGAGCGGCAGCCCCCCCACCCCTTAGCCCGCTCTGCAGCATATCCGCTTACAAACAAGAAGCGACCCGACGCTGGACACCCGACCCAGGCAGGCCACAGGCAGAGTCATCCACTGGCGTAATTGTGGAAGGTGGAAGCAATAGAGATGCAGTATAGGCCACCATGGGTTCGCAGACCTTGGAGATACTGCGCCAGGGCGTGTGGGCCTCACTGACCGGTGGCTACTTCTACGATCCGCATCAGGGTGTCTTCTGCAACGTGGTCCACCTGTATCTATGGCTGTATCTGGTCTGTTCGCCCTTTGTGGCGTACTTGGTGAGTGCTCGACTGGAGCAGCAACTGCGGCACCTGCAGCTATAACAAGTCCTACCCTCCTCTCCTTTCTGTCTGTAGTATTTCCCTAGCACTTGGCTGACATGGTGCCTGTATTGTGTCATCACCAGTCTCACCATTCTCATGGTGAAGCTGGCCAACTTGGCGCTGCATCGCCTGTACGATCGTGCACAGACCATGTCCGAGGTGAATCTCAAGAGTCAGTTCTTCAAGGTAACCAAAGAGACGGAGCCGCGCCACGACGACGAGGGTGGCATCGAAATGAAGGTCATACGACCGGGCGGCTCCCGCATCTCCGTCGAGCAAGCCATCAACGAGGCCAGCGAGGAGAACAGCATCATGTCCATAGACAATGGGAACAGCATAATTGGTGAGGCAAGCTCCAGCGAGCCAGTCCGAAACAGTCCCTGACTTTATTCACTCTTCCTCCTTGCAGATCTCAAGGTCGATGTGCATCGCAAGAACAGCTCCGAGTCCATTGAGCTGATGTTCTATGCCCCCTCCATGCTGTCCGGTGGCAGCCAGCAGGATCAGCAATCGCTGGCGGGCTCGGCCAGCGTCACCAAATCAATCCGAAGCGCCAGCGCTGCGACCAGTGCCGCTGTGCAGGCCGATCTCTTTAGCAAATATCTCACCGTCTATCCGGAGGTGGTGGAGGCAGCGGCCGGCAGCAGCGCGGGCAGCGCCAGCAGCGGCAACGACAGCAGCAGCCAGCTGCCACGTTCCGTGGCTGTCACCGCACCCACCAGCATACGCACCGGGCATCTCTCGCGCAAGTGCTCGGAGGTGTTTAGTCGTCGCCATCGGCGCCGGCTGGAGCGGCAGAGCAGCCTGGATGCAGCGGCAGCAGCTGCCACCGCCAGCAACCACGATCACCGGCTGATGCGGAACCAATCGGACACGATAGCCACGACGCCGGCCCAATCGTTTCTGCACTCACAGCCAGGGGGCAAGGCGCGTGGCTCGGCCAGTTCGCGTCAGCATTTTATAGCCAGCACACCAGCGGGCGCGGGCGCGAGCGCTGCGGGAGAGCCAACTGCCGCTGGTGGCTCCTCCTCTGCTGTGGTGGTGATTGCGCCCAGCTCCAATCCCACGCCAGGTCGCTCCTCGCGCCTGCAGCGGCATCGCAGCTCCGAGACGCACGATGAGCGGCAGAAGCATCAAAGCCATCAGAGCCATCGCGGCAGCCTGCTGCAGTCGATACTCCATCATCCGCACCATCCGCATCATCAGAATGCAGCCAGCAGCATTGGCGCTTTGGCTGTAATCGGAGGGAATAGTGGCCCAAACGATGTGGAGGACATGGAGCTGGGCCTGGCGCGACACTCGGGCAGCGGCGGTGTGTCCGATGCGTGCACGCGTGCCCTGCAATCATGGATATTGGGTGAGCGGCACCCTTTGAGACCCTGTCCCTTCTTAACTCCCTTTTCCCCTTGCAGATTCCTCGTCGGATGTTTACCTGGAGGATGATAGCTATACCAAATCGGACCTGGGCATTGAGCAGCCGCACCTGCCGACATTCCGGCGCTCGCATCTGTACCATGGCTACTACCATTATCATCATCTGAATCATCATTTGGGCGGCGGTGGTCCCATCATACGCAAGGATCCCACGAGCACCATGTCCGCGCTGCAGCTGGCGCCGGATCCAGCGCGAGCTTCTGGCGGATCTGGAGCTGCCGCTGCGGCTGCGGCTGCGGCTGCTGCTTCCACTTCGGGGGGCATCAAGGAGCGACGCAGACATTCCAATGCCACCAGCTATCATCACAAATACAGCGGACAAGCGTCGGCCTCCAAGTCAGCTCTGCTCGCGGGTGGCACAGGCGCGGGAGCTGGTCCCTCCTCAGCAGGCGGAACTGCCGCAGCAGCAGGACCCAGCTCCGGGGGCGTTCGGCGCATCAAAAGCACCGCCCTGGAGGTGCTCTGCCAGCAGCCGTCGGTGTCCAATTTGAGTCCGCATCCGAACAGCGTGGAGGCCATCTCGGGGCAGCAGCAAATGCGAAATCCACTGCCACCGCCCAGCAAGAGTCTCGTGCGGAATCAGCACCTGAATCTGTACAGCTCCCAGGGCTATGCGGAGCCAGGAGGACCAGCAGCAGCAGCAGCAGCAGGTGGACCCCCCGCAGCCGGCAGCACCTGCAGCAGCCTCTTCTTTGGCAGCTCCAGCGCCTGTGGCTCCACCACAGCGCTGCTGTCCAGCGATCCGCCGGTCTATCCCATTGTGGAGCATGCCGAAAACGCCGAGAGAAATGGCAACGAGGAGCAGCAGCAGCAGCAGCACGGACTGGGACTGGGACATGGCCATGGGAATGCCGAATGCGATGACGATGAGCTGGACGATGTGCCCATACGGAGGCGCACGCGCGCCCTGGGCTGCAGTCAGACGCATCGCAGCGCGGAGTCGGATGTGGGTGGCATTCTGGCGGACGACGACGACGATGTCTTCAAGGATTTCGATGATAATCTGGAGCACATACTCACGGAGCTGCAGCAGACGCACAGCCAGCTGGATGATCATCTCAAGGGGTGTGACCCGCAGCAGCACCACCACCACCACCACCATCATCATCATCATCAGCATCAGCATCATTTCCAGCGCAAACTGCAGCCAGCGGAGGGAGCTGCCGCCGCCACTGCAACTGCTGCTGGCGATGATGATGATGAGGAAACGGACAACAACACAGGCTCGAGGTCACCGCTGCTCAGCGATCGCAACCGGCAGCAGGCAACGCTGCGGGAGATTGTCGCAGATAAAATATTACGCCAAGAGCTGAGCCAGCCGGCAGCTGCACCCCTGCCGCCCATACGCAGCGAGGCGGACTCGGGCTGTCCCTCCAGCGACTGCGAGCAGGTGAGTGCCAGCTCGAAGGATCAGCTGCTGGAGCATCAGTCGCAGAGTGTCCTGCAGCTGGACGAGGAGCAGCCGTGCACCTCCAAGATGGCAGCCAAGAGTCTGGGCGCCATTCCGAAAGTCGTCAAGTATCGGGAAGTGGACGAGCTGCGACGACGCCGACACGTGGGACTGAACTCCGCGGAGCAGCAGGACGGCGGCGCGTGCAACGAACTGGCGCTGGTCAAGGCCCAGTCCAAGCTGCAGGCGAGCCACGGCAATTCCCGGAACTCCTCGTCCTCGAACTCAACGCACAGCATCAGCCTGACGGACAGCCTCACGGCGGACATACACAAAATGCTCTGGCTGATGCACGGCGGCGCCGTGGACGAGCGCGGGCGACCCATTGCTGGGATCTCCTCGGACGGCACGCCCATACCTGCCAGCAGCAGCCTCGTGCCACCGAACATGTCCAGCGCACACTTTCAGTTCTATCAGGATGCGATCCAGGCGCTGCAGGGCACCTACCCGGCGGCCAGCTCCGTGGAGCACATGACGCACATTGAGCGGGCGCTGGCGCGGGACAAGCTCCGGCTCGATGCGAAGCTCATGTGCGAGCAGCTGGCAGCCGCTGCTGAGGCCAATTCCCACTCGCACTCCCACACGCAGGTGACAAATGGAACAGCATCCGCGGGGAATACGCTGGGCATGCTTATGGGTGGAGCTGCAGGTGGAGCTGGAGGTGGAGGTGCCTCGTCGCGTCATGCCTCCAGCGCTGCCTTCTCCGTGCAGGGACTAATCAATGTGATACGCAGCGATGCGCTGCAGCAGCTGCACGACGCCGTCGCAGCCAATGCGAGTCTCCACGAAGCTGCCGCGCAGACAGCAGCAGCCGGAGGAGGTGCAGGTGGAGGTGGAGGTGGAGGTGTATCAGCAGGAGGAGCAACTGGTGGCAGTGGAGTGCTGCAGGCACTTGGCCTGGCCAATCATCCCAGCAATCAAATCAGCCACATTGGCGGCCACATGAGCCAGCCCATGCTGAATGTCGACGGGCACTTTGCGCCCTACTGCGACTACTGGCGACCCGCGTGTCTGCTCTCCGCGGCGGAGAAGCCAGCGGCGCCCAAGAGCTTCTACAAATATCGCTTCAATTGGTTCGGGCAAGAGCGCGAGTTCAAGATTGCCATGGATCGACTGGAGCTGCTGGCGCTCTTCGATCGGGATCTGCACTGGCTGCACGTGCTGCTGGCCAGTGTGCTGTGCACCCTGGTGGCCTGCCTGGGCGCTGCCATCCTGCAGCACGATCACTACAAGGATCTCTGTGCGCTGCTCTTCTGCTCGGTCATCGCGGGAGCTCAGTATTCGCTGGTGAAGAGCGTCCAGCCGGATGCTGCCTCGCCCGTGCATGGCTTCAACAAAACGGTGGCCTACTCGCGGGCCATTTACTTTTGCCTGTGCGGTGGCCTGTTGCTGCTGCTCAAACGCCTCGACACGGACTATGCCGCCCGACCGCCCGAGGCGTTGACCTTCTTTGGGGTTCATTACTCGCCCGCTGATCTGGTGGGCCTGCTGCTGCAGGCGCTGTACGTGCTGCTGCTCTGCTTCCCCATCATCTTCTCGGTGGGCTTGTGTCCGCAGATCAACACCTTCCTCATGTATCTCCTCGAGCAGATTGACATGCATGTCTTTGGTGGGAATGCGGCGAGCAGTTTGTTGGGTAAGTTCATCCCCGAACCCCTGGCTGATACTCACCCAAGGTGATAATCTTCGCTAACTTATTCACCACTGGCCTAGTCCCCACTCCTGTCTAATCCTTCTTGCGCTTTCCCTTTGGCAGGTTCATTTCTGTGCATTTTGCGCTCTGTTTTGGCTTTGATGCTGCTCTATGGACCGCTCTATGGTGCGCTGGATGAGCAGCGTGGCACGCAGTACATTTTGTTCTCAATATTCTGCGCCATGCTCATCCCTTTGGGCTATCATTTGTCGCGCTGTGCCAGCGATTTTAGTCACTTGTGGCGCCTCATCAAGACGTGCATTGTGAGCACATATCGCGACGATGATGACGAGGACAACGACGGCCAGGCGGATGAGCTGAGTCATGTACAAACGGCAGCGGCAGCGGTAGCGGCAGCGGCTGCACCTGCACCTGCACCAACACCCACCATTCAGCTGGCCACCAGCACGCCCAAGCGTAAGCGTCAGTCTGCCAAGGAGCCGCTGCAGGAGCACATAGAGCTGAGCACGCTCGACAAGCAGCAGCCGCAGGAGGAGGACCAGGAGCAGGAGCAGGAGCTGCAGATGCAGAGCAAGTCGAAAGCCTCCTCGCTGGGCAGCAGCAGCAAGCGTGCCATCACCGCCTCCAGCTCGTGCGCCTCGCTGGCAGTTGGCCAAGAGGCGGAACCAGGGGCAGAAGCTGACACTGGGGAGGGCCAAACACTGGAGTTGCAGCACGAGCACGAGTCAAAGTTGGAGGAGACTGAGACTGAGACGCCCGCAGACATGGCCACAGGCAGGGAGGCGGAGGCAGACGATGCAGAGGAGCAGCAGCAGCAGCAGCAAACGGAGGCCACCAGCGGCAGGAGCAGCAGCAGCAGCAGCAGCAGCAGCGGCGGCGGCACAAACAGAAGCAATCGAAGCAACAGCAACAGCAGCGACAGTGCCAGTGCCACAGGCAGCAACAGCGGCAACGATCTGCCCGATCCGCTGCCCAGGAAACTGCAGGCAACCGTGACAACCCGACTGAAGAACGATCTGGTGGTGATGACGCTGCTGGGCGTCAGTGTGCTCGGACTGCACTGCAGCACAGTCTTCACGGTGCTCCAGCCAGACCTCAATGTGGTCCTGTACGTGTTCATTGGCGTCTTGGGCTTCCTGCTGCACTATGCCGTGCCGCAGATGCGCAAGCACATGCCGTGGCTGTGCTTTGCACGGCCCTTGCTGCGACAGCGCGAGTTCGGGCAGTTCGAGGTCACAAACGCACCGAAGATAATGTGGTTCGAGAAGCTCTACATTTACCTGAGTGTGCTCGAGCGGAATGTGCTGTTCCCGCTGCTGGCCATCTCATCGCTGACCGCCGACTCGCAGCTGATTGTGGCGAAGTTTGGCCTGCCCTGGGGCACGCTCATCGTTGCCATTTGTGCGCTCAAGTGTGAGTAGTCCAATAGAGCCAATAGCTCTGCAACTCTCTCTCTCTCTCTCTAATCGATGTCTCTTTTCCTTCCCTTCACTTAGTTGTGCGAAATGCTTACTCGGATCCAACCAACCAATATTTAATCATCATCTTTACGGTGCTGCTGTTCCGCATTGACTTCGCCATGGCCACAGAGACCTTCATTATTGATTACTTCTTCGTTTCGCTGGCCTTTCGCAAGTGCTGTGACTTCTTGCTCAAGGTAAGACGTGGATCCGCCTATTCCTCCGCTGTTCATGCTAATTCCCAAACTGTTTGTCCCTGCTGCAGCTTCAGTTTATTGTCACCTACATTGCACCCTGGCAAATCACTTGGGGCTCCGCTTTCCATGCCTTTGCGCAGCCCTTCAGTGTGCCCCACTCGGCGATGCTGTTCCTGCAGGCGGGCATCTCCGCGCTGCTGTCGACGCCGCTCAATCCGTTCCTCGGCAGCGCCATCTTCCTCACCTCGTACGTGCGTCCCATCAAGTTCTGGGAGCGGGACTACAACACGCGACGCATCGATCACTCGAACACGCGTCTCAGCTCGCAGCTGGAGCGGGACCTGGGCGCTGATGATAACAATTTGAATAGCATTTTCTATGAGCACCTGACGCGCTCCCTGCAGCATTCCCTCTGCGGCGATTTGCTCATGGGTCGCTGGGGAAATGTGAATCAAGGCGATTGCTTTGGTGAGTGAGTGAGCCCCGACTCTTCTTCAAGCTTTAATCACACTCTTATCCCCTCCTCTCACAGTTCTCGCTTCGGATGATCTCAACTGTTTGGTGCACATCATCGAGCTGGGCAATGGTCTGTGCACGTTCCAGATGCGCGGCCTGGAGTTCCGCGGCACCTACTGCCAGCAGCGTGAGGTGGAAGCCATCACGGAGGATGTGGAGGACAACGATGGCTGCTGCTGCTGCGATCCGGGACATTTGCCGCGTCTGCTCAGCGCCAATGCCATGTTCTCGACCCGCTGGCTCGCCTGGCAAGTGGTCGCCGCGCAGTACGTCATCGAGGGTTATTCCATATCGGATAATCTGGCCAGCGCCACGCTGCAAGTGTTTGAGTATCGCAAGGTGCTCATCACGTACTACATCAAGAGCATTATCTACTATGTGGTGAGGAATCCCAAGCTGGAGCAGTGGCTCTCCTCGGGCCCCATCCAGGATGCGCTGCAGCACACGCTCGGACGGCAGTTTGTGGATCTTGATCCTGTTTTCAACTTTAACTTGGATGAGGACTTTGACTTTCGTGCCGTTGGCATTACGCGCTCGAGCTTCTGTTACGTTTATCTCAAGTGGATTAACTATTGCGTGGATATGCGACGGGATGCAGCATCATCGATGGCCGCGGCGCAGGCGGCAGCCACCCAACCCACCACACCAGCAGCAACAGCAACAGCAACAGCAGCAGCAGCGCAGGCAGCGTCCCAAGCGAACTCCACACCTGCCCACAATGACTCCAAGAGCACACCGAATCTCTCTGCGCACGGTGGCTCGGGGGGCACAGGCAGCGGCCAGTCCAAGTCGCAGTCGCAGCAGCAGCTGCGCAGCGGTGGCAGGAACCAAAAGAATTCCACCCCGCAGGATGGTGGAGCAGCTGGAACTGGAACTGGAGCCGGAGCCGGAACTGGAACTGGAACCACGGCAAGTGCCGCCGCAGCAGCGGGCATCGCTGCCGAACAGCTGAGTGGTTCGCACAGCTTTGCCAACATTTCGCGCCAGACATCAGAGAGTGCGCCCGGCTTGGGTGGCTACGTGACGTACAGAGACCAAAATGTGTTTGTCAAGCTAGCCAAGACAACAACCGCGAGCACAGGACTGCAGGGAGGAGGAGGAGGAGGAGGAGGAGCAGCTGGAGGAGGAAAAACGCTGCGCAAGGAGGACTCCATGACGGCAGAGAGGGAGCGGGCTGTGCCGCCGCTCAAGCTGAAGCTGGCCAGCGTGGGCAAGGATGCGCCGCTGGTGTCGCTGTGCCTGGCGCTGGGCCTGCTGGCGCGTCGCTCCCTGGCCACCGCCTCGCACAGCTCCATGTCGGGCGTGGAGTTCTTTCTGCACGGCTTGCACGCGCTCTTCAAGGGCGACTTTCGGATCACATCGCCGCGCGACGAATGGGTCTTTGCGGACATGGAACTGCTGCATTCGGTGGTGGCGCCAGCAGTGAAAATGGCCCTGAAACTCCAACAGGATCACATAACGAACCCCGACGAGTTCCTCGATCCGCACGCGCTCTACGACGCCATCGACAACTGCTCCAAGGAGCTGGTCATCTCACACGAAGCAGATCCCGTGTGGCGCAGCGCTGTGCTGCGTGGAGCGCCCAATCTGCTCGCCCTGCGTCACGTCATGGAGGATGGCTCCGATGAGTATCGCATCATCAGGCTAACGAAACGTTTCCTCAGCTTCCGCGTGATCAAACTGAATCGGGAGTGCGTGCGCGGCCTGTGGGCAGGGCAGCAGCAGGAATTGATTTACCTGCGCAATCGAAATCCGGAGCGTGGCAGCATCCAGAACGCCAAGCAGGCGCTGCGGAATATCATCAACTCGAGCTGCGATCAGCCCATTGGCTATCCCATTTACGTCTCCCCGCTGACCACCTCCTACGCGGACACCAACACTCAGCTCTGCCAGATCATTGGCGGCGCCATTACGCTGGAGACCATACGCCAGACGGTGCTGGGCTGGTGGCATCGCATACGCGAACGTTGCCGTCAGGGCTGCAGCTCTGGCTCGGCCCTCGAGCAGAACTCTGCACAGCAGCAGCAGCAGCAGCCAGGGGGGAATTCTCTTCCCTGCAACTTTGGCAGCGGCGGCAGCGTGGTGGGTGCCACATCCACGGCCACTGCGGTGGGTGCCTCCACTGGCTCGGGTGTGGGTGTGGGTCTGGGTGTGGCGGCTGCGCCACCCGGCACTGCCAGCAGCACTGGCGGTGAGTCAGCGGAGCTGGCGCCCGTCTTCATATCTGCCCCGCTGTACAACACGCTCACCGTGAACAGCTACTACGGCGTCAGGTCGGGCAATGTGCCGGCCCACAATGGCAGCTACGTGAGCGACAGCCTGGCGGTGGTGCGCGGCGGCCTGGCCGTGATGCCCGTCAAGCCCACATCGACGACACTCATTGCGGGGCTGCTGAATCGAGAGCGGGAGCGGGAGCGAGAGCGAGAGCGGGACCAGGAGACGGTCACGGCCACTGCCACGGCCACAGCAACAGCAACGGCGAGCACTTCCAGCCAGGGCTCCGCGATGCGTGCCAGCAGCAGCAGCAGCAGCAGCGGAATGCGCGGCAGGAGCTTGCTCCAACAGGGGGCCCCCAGCACCAGCAGCAGTCGGGGCAGGGATCACGAGCGTAGAGCCACGCTGCCCATAGCCAGTGGCGAGGCGCCAGGAGCAGGCACCGCATTGGAGGCGAACAAGGAACTGCTGGCCCTGCCACACACGGCCCAGCTGGAGCACGAGCAGAGTCCACGCAGCGGCGGCGGTAAGTTATCCTCCTCCTCGGGCAGCCTGGGACTGGCCATTGGCAACATAATCACGACCCCAGGCGACTATCCACGCAAGACCAAGGGACCCATTTGCCTGACAGCAGCACCGCTGACCAGTGGAGTGGAGTCGCCAGCAGTTGTGCCTGTGCCAGCAGCAGCACCAATGGCTGGCTCGGGGCAGACCAGAAAGCCGCGCATTGAAATCTTCAAGAAGGTCATAATTGTGGATGAAACGGGGGTAAGTGGGGCAGACGACAGCAGACCGAATTCACGGCGACCAACTAAACTCTCGGCTCTCCTTTCCCCAGATCTACGACTGCTTGGACGTGATTGGTGCCGTTGTGTGGCCCAGCGAGCTGATGCGCAACAATGGCGGCCGCTTGTCCTGGAAGGACTGGGAGCCAAGCGCTGGCATGGTCGGGCATGTGGTCCACTGCTGGGCGCCCAATCACAAGGATGTGCGCTTCCGCTCGCACGTCAATCGTTGCGTCTATCTCGTGGAGATTGGGGAGCACTACGTGCCCGTGGAGGAGCTGGGACTGCGCGAATATAATCAGATTATGAGCAGCTCCGACGAGATGGCAAATTCGCGGCGCAGCTCCATCCAGCGAGAGTTTCATGAGTACAACATGCAGCTGAAGCTCTCCGGGCTGACGCCCATCATCGGTGGACGTTCAACTGGAGGTGGAGCAGCTGGAGGAGCAGCCACTTGCAAGGCCAAAATCCGTGCCGTGAGCAGCAGCAGCTCTGAGGATGAGAGCACACCCTCGGCCTCCGGCGGCACAGCCGCGGGGCCACACTCTGCCATTGATCTGATGAACTTCAACACGCTGCTGAGCATGTGGAAGCTGATGGCGGATAAACGGAAGCAGGCAGCGGCTGCTGGGACTGGCTCGGGCTCGGTCCCAGATGCCTTCGAGGGCTTCGATTATGTTGGCGAGCTGTCGCCGGAGCTGCTGCAGAAGCTGGACGAGGCAGCCGCTGCGCAGGAACAGCAGGAGGAGAAGAGCGAAGAGGAGGCGGCAGTGCCGGCAATGGAGGAACACTCTCACTTGGAGCTGAACGTTCCCCAGGAACAGGTGGAACTGCAGCTGCAACTGGAGGAGGTGACTGTGGAGTGTACAGCGGAAGCGGAGGCAGAGACAGAGACAGAGGCAGAAGAACCATCCAGTGGCGCTGCCTCCAGTCTGGGAGTGCCTGCCGCAACAGAAGAAAGCGAAGAAGACGAGGAGGAAGCAGAAGCAGAAGCAGAAGAAGCGAAGAGTTGCGCCTCACAAATGGAGGAATCGGAGGAGAAGGAAGCAACGCAAACGGAGTCGGAGGCGGCACAAACAGAGTCGGACACAAAGAGCGATGAGATGGAGTTGGAGTTGGAGTTGGACAATGGAGATGGGACAACAGTCTAGGACAGATATTTCGACAGCTAAAAGGATTTGCATTTGTTTGCCAAGCAGACACACAGACGCTCCACGCTACGCCTACGCTTCAGCCTCCCTTAATACATATCACAGAGAGAGAGAGAGAGAGAGAGAGACAAAGAGAGGGAGAGTAAGAGCGAGAGCGCGTGGAGTAGTCCCAGCCAGGAGCGAAATCGATGCGAGAGCAAATTGAGAAAGCAAAAAACACTTCCAAGAAATCAAAGTTAAATGTTTATAAAACGACTGCGTTTAGTGTTAAATTGTATGTGTGGGTAAATCGAGTGTAAATATTAACATAATAGATATTCTTCATATTTGATAAATATATAAATGATATAAAGGATATAGGACATAGGACAGACATCAATATTTGCATGTGTATAACCCCCACAACTTATTATTACCATTATTATAGATAGAAATAATCCATAGATTACCCCATAGATAAAACTAGATTTAGATATTACAAGGGATAGAGCGAAGGACTCCCCTGTGCGTGTGTGTATATATATACAAAAGGTTTGATTAGCTTTTTCACCAACAACATAACTCGATTTAAACCCTTAGATATTGCTTAGGCTACAAATTACAAACTATAACTATATGTTACATAAATATGTACATAATATGTACATGTACATGTTGCATACACCAACAAATTTACAATAATTATGGATTTTGAATTATTAATTAGAAATTGTACAAGAGCAAGGAAGCGAGAGAGAGAGAGGATCAGCAGCAATAATTCTAAAGAAATACCAACAAAAATTACAATTTTTAGTATTACAAAAGGAAAACATGTTTAAAAAATAGAATGTAAAACTTTACATACATACATACCTACTACGTATATAGCAAACAAAACAAAAGGGAAAAAAAGCAAAAGAGGTGGAGACCGAGGCAGCTCCAGCTACCATACCTGAAGCCCCGTAACTAAGTAATTGTTATAAAACAACAACACAAAACCAAATGCTTCTCATACATTACATTACATTACATACATATGTATGTATGTATGTAGTTTTTTTTATTATTATTATTATTATTGTTCTTCCCTTGCTAGCCAATATATTCTTCAAAACTAAACAAAGAATTTATATACATACATAATACATACATACATTATATGTAGTTTAAACTTTAATGTTAAAGAACCAACCGCAAAGCTAACCCAAAATAGACAAGCGATTTGTAAACATCAAAAAAACAAACTAAGCAAAAACCACTGGGGAGCACCCACACACACACACAACTCCTAGGTGTAAGTAAGCTTTGATGGGACAAGGTTGAGGATAATAAGAATGAATGGTAGAGGGCCAGGCCAGAGCCATGCCAACAAATATTTGCGCACCTTTTTATATTCAAAAATTTAATCATTTCGCGTACAAATTGAGCGCCCCTACATTTTGGCGCACATGCCAAATGGCAACCCTTGGCACGGCCCTGGCTGGAGCAGTGAAGGAAGTGGAGAATGAAGAAATAACGGACGATGACGATGACATGTAAAAGCTCTCACGTTGCCTTAATATATTAGACTGATTTTTTCTACACACAAAAACATACATATGTATGTATGTAGTTATGTATATATGTGTGCGTGTGTGTGTGTGAGGTGTAATGAAAAGCCCTTGAAATTATTCGCAAAAGATTCTCCTCCCACGCTCCTCCCTCGGAGTCTGGCGCATTAGTTGCTGCCAGTAGCAACAGCTGTATATAATATAATGACACAATATATAACGTACATACATAATGCATAGCAAACGGCAGGAGGTAACCCGATGTTAGCCTGTTTTCAACAATTACAAATTATAAAATTAAATACTTAGCCAATGGAAGAAATGAAGCACACACACACGCTCACTCACGTGTCTGGCTGTGTGTGTGTGTGTGTGTGTGTCTACCTATATCTATATTACATTATATTAATATTATACAAATATCATTAACTATAGCGCAGAGCTTTGGGCACAGCAAAAATGAATGGCAAAAAAGAAAAATTCCTAACAAAAACCCAAACACCCCCCACCACAAACTGAAGGAACCTGTAAATAGCAAGAAGGAGGTGGAGTAGCAAAAGCGAACAAAGTGGAAGCGTTTGTCCAGCCAAAAACCATAAACAGTTAGCCAAATCTCACAACAACAAAACAGAAACAAAAACAAAACACACAGAAAACAGCAAAGAGCACTGTGCGACAAATGGGAACTTTTTGAATGTACTTTGCACGAGACTAGGACTCGAAGAGTAGTTCACTGTCCTCATACTTTATATTTTGCAATATAAATGAAATACCGAAAATTTGTTAATACAATTTATCATTTAAATTGTTCAAAGAATTTTAAATTATTGCAAATCTTCTCTTCGAGTTTTTGTCTCGGGCAAAGTACAAAAAGCCTGTTGCACAGTGTAATCGTTCATGTGTGTGTTTGTGTATTGAATTTAGTCTTTAATCAAGAAACAGAACACATTTATACTCCCTACCCGCCCCATTCCTCACACTCCATTAAAGTTGTATCTTTTTTTTATAGTTCCATTTAAAAAACAAAAAATGAATTGCATATTTATGTATAATATACACAAAAAGTATCAATTAAATAAATAAAACTATAATGAAAATTGTTATACAAAAGAAGGCAGAGCCAATTCCTCCGTTTTATATCTCATTTAAGTGGCAATGGTGGCCAGAGGGCAGTCAACTCATTCAGTGCCACATCGTACAGCAGGCCGTGGTACTCCTCCAGCAGAACTGAGAGTGGGGGAGAAAGTAACGGTAATAAGTTCAAGTGTGTTTCCATGGCATATGCTGCACTCTACACGCATACATTCATGCATGCGAAGACAGCAGGCAAAACGGTAAAACGGAACATTGCACTGCTTTGGTATTGGTACGAAGCACTGCAATTCGCGTGTACGTGTACTCACAGTTTGGCTCCCTGGCCCAATGCTCGTGTAGCGCCTGTCGCGTGTGTATTTCCTTGCTGATGAGCGCACGCTTAAAGCGCAAAACTTTGTCATTGAGGTTCGACCAGCTCTTGATGAGTGTGCCGGGTGTCACCCTCAACTTGCGCTTGAACTCCGCCAGCCGTGGGCAAATCTCACCCGACAGCAGGAACATGCCAAAGTAGCTACGAATGGGAGGAGAGGGGACACACAAAATGTTAATCAAATTTAAGGCAAACTCTGGCTAAAACTCACCAGCAAGCCTTCTCGCTGAGCGGCATCTCGATTTCGCTTAGTGGCAGCGGCCAGCCAGCCTTGCCGAACGTTGCCTCCACAAAGCAAAAGAGTTTGCCCGACGATGGCTCATAGCGTGGCGGTGGATCGTCGCGCACTTCGCGCATATTGCACAGCAGCGGAACGTAGAGCAGCAGCCACTCCGGCTCAATGGCTGTGATGCCGCGCAGGAACATCTTTTCGGAGTCACCGTTGCGCAGCTCGTACGCCTCCTGGTAGATGATCCATTCGGGCGTCTTTTGCTTCAGCACGGAGGAGGCATGCAGGAAGGCGGGATCCACCATGTCGGGGGTGTTGTAGGCATACTTGAGACGTCGCCGCTCCTCCTTGTCGGTGATCTCCGACAGCGGCACTTTGCGCGCCACACGATCCCCCATGCCGGCGAGCAGTATTTGGCGCAGGAAGCGCGCCTGCGCATCGCTGGGTGGCTTCAGCTGCGGATCCACGCTCAGCTGGACTCCGCTGACATTCAGATTGATCTCGTTGGTCAGCTGAACGCGCAGCTTGCGCACCTCACTGATGGCCTTCTGGCGCAGTCCGTTCGTCGCGCAGAACTCGGGCAGCTGGCCACGGGAGCCGGCATATTCGGCTGCTCCCACAGCTCGCAGCAGGACCATGGGATCCCCGAGCAGCTGGAAGTTGCCGCTGGCCGCCCATCGCTGCCGCTTCTCGTGGAACTTGTTGGCCTTGGGTGCCACATCCTCGGTGCGCTGCACGCCCGTCTCCTGCAGCACTTCCTGCACGGAGAGTGCGGCCACCAGGCAGACGGTGTACGGCAGCAGTCCCTGCTGATGGGACAGGGCCAACATCTTGCCGAAGCGCGGCGCCACAGGGAAGCGAGAGATGACCCTGCCCAGCGGCGTCATGGCTGGCGGCAGATCCTTGGCATCGCTGGGCGTGGCCTTCAGGGCTCCCAAGACAGTCAGCCGCTGCTCGGCGGCCTGCAGCTGCAGCTGATCGGGTGGCGTGGGAAAGGGAAAGTGCACAACCCGATCGATGCCCATGGAGCGCATTTGCAGCATCAAATCATCGACGGGCTTCTGCTGTATGTCCGGCAGGCCAAACTCCATAAACTGATGCTCATAGACGGCACTCGAGTACAGCCGGTAGCAGTGCCCGGCGCTGATGCGACCCGCTCTGCCCGCACGCTGCTCCGCGGAGGCCTTGGATGTGTAAGTGACGACAAAAGCGCTCACGCCGGTCAGCTTGTCGTACAGCCGCGTCTTCTGGCGGCCACTGTCCACGACGTATTTGATGTGTGGAATAGTCAGCGAGGTCTCCGCGACATTCGTGCTCACCACGCACAGGCGACAGCCCTCGGGCACGGGCTGAAAGATGCGATTCTGCTTCTCCGACGACAGCAGCGAGTAGAGGGGCAGCACCCACAGTGGTTGCTTCGGACCGGAGGACAGCTCAGAGACACCTTCTAGCTCTTCCCCTGCTGACAGTGCATCCAACTCCTCCTCGTCATCCGAGTGATCCTCCTCCGCCTGCTCGTGCATATCCGCTTCGGTGTCATCCCCGGGCAGCTTGTAATCGTCCAAATTGATCTTTGGCAGCTCCATTTGTGCCAGAAACTTCTTCTTGGACTTGCGTATGTTGCGGATGACGCGCTTCATATCAAAGTTCTCTTCAGCTACATCCTCCAGCTGCTCATCCTGCTGCTCATCTTGCTGCTGCTGCTCCTGCTGCTGACGATAGGGAAAGCAACGACGCAGCTTGCGCACCAGCAGATTCACCTCCTGCTGTCCAGTCACAAATATGAGAATGCCGCCCTCGGGCAGCTGATTGTGAATCTTCAGCGCCTTGCGGTATGCCTCCGCCACATAGTCCTCGGGCGTGCGCTTCTGAAAGTGTATGGTGACGGGGTACTGGCGGCACTCCACATTGATCAGCGGCGGTGGCTGCTTGAACAGACGCGTGTTCTCGGTGAAATCGCTGACCCTCAGCGTGGCAGACATCACAATGAGCTTGAGGGGACTGCCACGCTTGTGGCGCAGCGGCACAATCCTCGAGAGCAGTCCGACGAGTATGTCCGTGTAGATGCTGCGCTCGTGCGCCTCGTCCAGTATGATCACAGAGTACTTGTTGAGCAGAAAGTCGCTTTCGATCTCCTTCATGAGAACGCCATCCGTCATGAACTTGATGCGCGTTGCAGGACTCACGTTGCCCTCGAAGCGTATCAGATAGGACACCTCGCGCTCCGACAGATTCATCTCGTGGGCCACACGCTTCGACATGGCTATGGCAGCCACACGACGCGGCTCCGTCACGCCAATCATCTTGTGTTGGGCATAGCCCGCCTCGTAGAGGAACTGCGGCAGTTGGGTCGTCTTGCCGGAGCCCGTGGCGCCGGCTACAATCACAATTGGATTCTCGTTGATTGTCTCCATCACTTGCTGCTCCTCGGCGAGTATGGGCAGACGCAGACGTGCTTCCTGCACCTTGGCCAAGCGGTTCACAGGCACATAAACGGTTTGATGTGTGCACAAGGGTGTGGCAGGAGCAGGAGCGGGAGCAGGCACGGGAATGGCTTTGGGTTTGGGTTTGGGTTTTGTTTCCGTTGGACTGGGCACAGCTGCAGGCCCTGAGGGGGACTCTCCAGCCGCTTCATCCTCATCAGTTGAAGTGTCACTCTCCTCTTCTTCGTTTAGGCTAACTATATTGGGATTCCTGCGCTTGGCATCCAGCTCCTCCTGCTCCTCGGCGAGCAGCTTACGCTTGGCCGCACCCTTAATGGCATTCACACGACTGCCGGGCGTACGCTCGGCCTGCACCTGCGCCTGTCGCTCCTTCTTCCTGGCCAAATAGTCATCCAGCGTTTGCAGCCGCTTCAGACCCACCGTCTGCACCTGGCTGATGGATGTGTACTGCTGCAGCTCAGCGTCGGGTATTTGCACGGAGGCCAAATCTGCCAGCAGCTGAGCGCGCTGCAAAAGCAGGGGAAGAGGAGGATTAAGGAGGATCTGTGACAAATTTCCATGCTCTACTTACGCCTTCCTTTTTCTTCTTCTTGTCCACAATCGCCTGCAGGTGCTTGCGTTGCTTTTTCGTCAGGATTTTCACATGATTCGTCTGCTCCACGATGGTCTTTGTGGCGCGCTTCTGTGAGGGCAGCACCAAGGCATTGGCCTCATCGTAGCCAGCCCCAATGCCACTCCTGCCATCGGCCACGGAGCTTTCATCTATTTGGATCTGCAAGTGTAGTTGGGAGCAGTCAGTAAAGCGTGTTTACTTGCGTGTGACTTGAATGGCTGGATGCGAACACTCGAACCTTTTTGGCAGCGGAATTGTCGACAATCGTTTGTGGATTGTGCCGCGCTTTGGCATTGTGTACTTTCTTGCCCATGTTTATGATGCCGTAAACATTTAATGTGTCAACTATGCACGAATGGACGCTCTTTTTACCAAAACAAATGTGGAATGTTTTTAAAACATTCGAAATCTGGCACTTGCACGTGTAGCACAATAGCTATGGCACTCACTGAACCGATATATCGATATAGAACAGCTGTCGATACCAACATGCAACACTCGATGTATCGATGCTGCATCGATATGCAGTTGTTTTGTCATCACTATATTGCCCTCAAATTCGTAACCTGTCAAAAAAAAAGAACGAATAAATGTTTGATTTAAGTGTTTGTGGCAGTACGTACGGTAACAAATATTAAGTGTGATCCTAACTGCGGATCGTCTGTGTGTGGCCCAGCCGCAAGCAATTCGTTTTGCTCGTTAAATGATGTCCAAAAATAACAATCAGCAGAACCGGGCGATGTATCAGAATCAAAGCCAGAACCAGCAGCAGCACATCCACAATGCTCGTGTTGCCGCTGCACCGTACAGAAAACCCTTTCGCGGGCCACCAATGATGTACTCATCCTGCCAGATTCCCAGCGATCCACTCTACATAGACTTCAACAGCCCCGCCGCGGCCAGCAAGCCACCGACCAAGCCGGCTGCCCAGTCGCAGCCGCCGTTAAAGACTTTTGCCCGTCCTCCGGCTGCTGCTGCTGCTGCTGCTGCTGCTGCTGCTGGTGCCAAGCCACAGGCCACTGCCCCAGGTCCTGCTGGGTGCTGGAAGCCGCTCAAACAGGCGACAAAACAGCAGCAGCCCAAGGCAAAGCAGCAACTGCCACTGCAGCAGGGACACCTGAACGGACATGCGCACGCAAATGGAAATGGCAACGTTGAAGGCAGCCACAAATGGCCACCAAAGCCGCGCTTTCATCCACACAATCGCTTCAACGGCGGCGGCTGCAACGGTGGCTTCAACCGTCCGCCACCTCTCCATGGCTGTGCGCCTCACATGATGCCGCTGATGGGTCCCGGACCACGCTGCGGTGGACCAATGCCCATGCCGCCATATCCAACGATGCCTTATCCGCCACAAATGGTGCCGCCCATGGCCATGCGCTGTCCGGGGCCACCGCTGCCGCCACCGCCACCGCCACACTTTATGCGCCACAATGGACGCGGTGCACCCATGCACATGATGGGCGGTCCGCCCATGCATCTGATGGGTCCACGCATGCCGCCGCGTGGCCCGCCGCGTGGCCCACCGCGTGGCCCGCCGCCCGGCGTGCCCTACATGAACGGCGGCCCCAACGGGGGCAGAATCAAGAAGCCAAATCCCGTGCTCATCAAGCAGGTGGTCAAGGGCAAGAGCACCATTAAGACGCTCAAGAATATGGTGAATCAGTATCCACTGGACAAGCCCTGGGTGACGGAGCAAATACGGGGAGAGCACGACAAGAAGGTGAACATTGAGAATCGTTTGAAGGGCAACAAGGACGATGCGCTCTTTGCGCAGTTCAAGGTGCAGCGCGACAAGTTTGTGGCGCAGTACGAGGCAGCGCGCGAGGACTACCTAAAGCAAGAGGCAGCCTCTGTTATGGCCAAGGTAGGAGCTGAGGGAAACCCATTGAAAGCCAAACCAAAGCCTTTTCTCTTTTTGCAGGATGCCAAAACAGACAAAGGCAAAGAGAAAGAGAAAGACAAAGAAATAAACACAAATTCGAATGCAGCAACTGCGAGTCTGTAGGAGAGACCGAGGCGAGCAGCAGCAACAACAAGATGAAGTCTGAGTAACATAAGCAGCTCTGATGGGCGAGGATCGAGTGCCAGAGCCAAGGCTGCATGCGGCTTAAATGCGTTACCCAACACTAGCCCCTAAGCCCTAGCTTAACCCAAGCCCACCCCTTCCTTATTCCTAGCTTAACCCTCCACCTACCCCTACCCACTGCTGTTGCCTGTCCCTTCTCGTCCGAGTCGCAGATATTAGAATATGCATAGCCATATTTATTATTATTATTATTATTATTAATTATTGTACCACCCGAGAGAGGTTTTGCTGCAACCCATGAACTGATTGTATTTGCTAGGCTTTGCGCTTAGAAATCAACAATTAAGTTGACACTTTGTAAATAACTTGGCCAGCAGTCGGCTGTGCTTGTACTTGTTCCTGCCACCCAAGCCTCTTGTATATAGACTTAGAGACAGACTCATCCATCCATCCACGCACCACCCACCCATCAGCCACCCATCTGCCAACAGTCGACACTGTTCCCCGTCCAGCAAAAGGAATTCCAGCAAATAGAGATTTGACTTTGAAGCTAATGCAAAACAAATATAGTTTTCATTACAACTGTTGGTTAATTATGTGTTATTAATTGTGTTAAGACAGGGAAGAATCATGTCTAAATATTCTCCCATTTGTCATGGGCTTTGGTGTTACCAACACAAAAGATTCCCAGCAATCCGTGTTTTCGTGAGCAGTCCGGGGTTTCCTTCTTTGATTCTAATGCTAATTCTAAATGTGAGATTTCTAAAATGAAAACAACTTTTCATTGATGGCTGAGGGACACCTTTTGTTTCCCAGCCACTTAGCCCAAAGGGAAAACAATTGCATAAAGAGCCATAATGAGGCAGCCTGCCAGCCAGCACTTAGGGAAATTAGTGGCGGCGCCCGGGGCCAGACCCAAAACAGCAGCTAAACGATGCAGAACGTTGAGGAAAACAAACTGCAATTGGACACCCACACGGCTGTGGCGTATCACTGGCGTGTGTGGCAGCTAACGGGACTCATCCGACCGTCTGGCATCCCTAAAGGTCTCTATCGAAGCTACTCGATTGGCCTCAACCTACTCGTGACGCTGCTCTTTCCGCTGAGCCTGCTGGCGCGGCTCATACTGACGCGCAGCATGAAGGAAATGTGCGAGAATCTGACCATAACCATCACGGACATGGCGGCCAATCTGAAGTTTGCCAATGTCTACCTGGTGCGGCATCACCTGGGGCAGATACGCACGCTGATCCAGCAGCTGGACAGGCGAGCGCAGGTGATCGGCGATCGGGAGGAGCTGCGCGCGCTCGACTGGGCTGTGACGTCTGCGCGGAACACGTTCCGCACCTTTGCCTGGATCTTTGTGTGCGGCACAACGCTCAGCTGCGTTCGTGTGGCGCTCGCACGCAGCCGCCAGCTGCTGTACCCCGCCTGGTTCGGCATCGACTGGCGCAGCTCGGACGAGGCATATGTGGGCATCTATGCGTACCAGTTGTTCGCTCTGATCGTTCAGGCGGTGCAGAATTGCGCTAATGATTCGTATCCGCCGGCCTACCTCTGCCTGCTGACGGGCCACATGCGAGCTCTCGAGCTGCGGGTGGGACGAATCGGCTGCGACTGCGACTGCCTCAACGCTCGGCAGAGCTACGCTCAGCTGGTGGGCTGCATCCAGGATCTAACGCTCATCCACCGCATGCACACCATCATCCAGGAGATACTCTCGGTGCCCTGCATGGCGCAGTTCGCCTGCTCCGTTGCCGTTCAGTGCACGGTGGCGATGCACTTTCTGTATGTGGCCGATGCCGACGATCGTCTGGCCATGATCCTGTCGGTCATCTTCTTTGTGGCCGTCACCCTGGAGGTGTTTGTCATTTGCTATTTCGGTGATCAAATGCGCACGCAGAGCGATGCCCTCTGCCATGCCTTTTACGCCTGCAACTGGATCGAGCAGCTGCCGCGCTTCAGGCGCGATATTCTCTTCACTCTGGCACGGGCACAGCGACCATCGTTGATACTCGCCGGCAGCTACATTCCACTCACACTGGAGAGCTTCAAGGAGGTACGTACTGCCCCTTCCCTGCCTTTTGGCGTTCTCTCCGATTCCTGCTCACTGAAGTTTTCCCATCTCAAAGGTCATGCATTTCGCCTACTCTGCCTTTACGCTGCTGCTGAGAGCCAAGTGAGGAGGCTGCCAACAACTGGAGGGGCTAAAAGAGCAGAGAGCGCAAATCTGTACTCACTCGTGCACCATTTGCATCATCTATCCATCATTTTATTTATTTATTTGTTTACATACAAACGTCTTCACCACAGGGCACTCTCTTTCGGGCATCGCTATCCCTTTCTAGCGCTTGTCTTTCTGAGCGTGGTGAATAAGTTATCCCCACAGCAGCGGACAACGGCAGTTCACCCCATGGTCTGCAGTGAGCTTTAATTACACTGTGCAACAGGCTTTTAGAATGCACTTTGCACGAGTCAAAAATTAGGCCGTACTCATACTTTCATTATATCTTCTTACACAGAATCTGCAACGCGGATATCCACGAAACAAATTGAGTTTGAAAGAAAATGTTACCATCTTTCACAGAATTGTTTGAATTTTGGAAGGTTGCTTGTGGATTTCTCTTCGAATTAGCTTACAATTATACCCAGATGATGATTTATAATTATGCAACAACATTTTTGGAAACATTTTCCTTGCCCTGACACAGCCAGCGACCACTTCGAGTCTCGATAAAGAACGTAACGACACTGGCCCCTGTGCGACTTCATTTGAATGGATCTTTAATATGCAAAGTGGAATTAAGGGCTAGGAAAAACAAATGATCAGTTATCCTCCTGCGTGACGTCGGCAGGGGCAGGCACTGGATCCTCGTCGGGCACATCCTTTTGCTTTTTCCACATCTTGGCAGCGGCCAGCAGCTTGAGATTGGGTCGCGCCATCTCATCCTCGGGGAAGATGTAGTCGAAGACCTCCTCCCAGCCCTCCTCGACGCCATCGTCGGAGACGATCTTCTGTCGCTTCTTGATGCGCCGCGGCATCTTTTCGAGCACCTTCTGCAGGCACTGGCCATCGTTGGCATCCCGCTCAAAGTCGCGCCAGGCCTCCAGCAGCAGGACGCGCGACTCCTTGTCGCCCAGCTGGCGGAGCATATCGTTGGCGCGCTCGTAGACGCGACGTGCCAGGCGCACATTGAGCCCGGCATCGGGCCCGTTGTCCCCGTGGTTGAGGCCCATCTCGAACTTGGCAAACGACATCCACACCTTGACGTGCTGCGTGCGCTCCAGCAGACGCTCGTACAGCTGCCGCGCCAGCTCCGTTTCGCCGAGGGCCACCTCAAAGTCAATGTAGGCCTTCCACAGCAGTTCCGGCATGTCGAGACGCGGCTGATGGACGGCCAGCTCGAAGATGGCCCGCGCACGCTCCGTGTCGCCCAGAAGGTTCTCCAGCTCCGCGAACTTCATCCAAGTGACGCAGTTCTCTGGGCCAAACTCGAGGAACTTCTCGTACAGCAGGCGACAGCGCTCGAACTCACGCAGTTGGATCTCCAGGTCGATGTAGCCGCGAAACAGCTTGTCCCGCGGACACATGCCGATGGCGAAGCCGAGCGTCTTGCGTGCCCGCTGCAGCTCCTTGCAGCGGATCTCGAACTGGGCGTACAGCAGCCAGACCTTGCTGAATGTGAACTGCTTGTGGGGCATGAGGTCGAGGCAGGTCTTGTAGATTTGTCGCGTCCGCTCAATGTCCTCCGCCTCGAGCTCCTCGTAGAGGGCATAATTGATCCAGAGGTAGATGTAGCGGCGCCAATAGTTCTTCTCGTTGGCTGGCGGCACATTGGCAATGGCCCGCTCGTAGGTGTCCCGAATGAGGTCCTTCTCGCCATCGGCCTCGATGAGGCGCAGGTAGTCGAACCACGCATCGTAGTTGGTGGGATTGGCGGCCACTTCCTGCTCGTACTGGTACTTCCGCTTGGACACGATGACGTCCTCGATGCCGTCGCGATCGCCGTACTTCTTCTCGTGTATCGTGTAGGCCTTGAAGAGCTCCTTGGTGCGCTCCTTGGGCAGATGGTCGAGCGCGTACTTGTAGATGATGCGCGCGCGATCGTGCTCCTTCTGGCCCTCCTCGAAGCGCGCAAAGGCGATGAAGAGCCGCTCCTCGATGTACTCGTCGCCAAAGAACTCCACGGCCCGCTCGAACACGCGACGCGCTCCATGGATGAAGCCGTGCGACTCCTCGAAGCGGGCAAACTTGATCCAGTTCTTGACATCCGGATGCACGTAGACAAACCGCTCGTAGACCTCGCGCGCCCGGTCAATCTCCTTGTAGCGCAGCTCAAAGTTGACGTAGGTCTGCCAGGCCTGCTCCTCGGGCTGCCACTCCATCCAGCGCTCGAAGACCTGCCGCGCACCAGCCACATTCTCCAGCATCTCCTCCATGTAGGTGTACTTGTACCAGAACTGATTCACGCGCGGCATTATGGTCACGGCCCTGTCCCACAGATTGCGGGCGTGGTTCACCTGTTTGTTTTTCATCTCCATTTCGGCGTACTTCAGCCAGATGGTCACGTTGCGGTGCTCGTTGTCCAGCGCACGCTCCCAGATGGAGCGGGCACGCTGTATCTCCTGCTGCTGCTCCTCCCATTGCGCGTACTTGATCCAGTGGCTGACCACCATGCGGTTCTTGCGGAGATTGTCCTCGAATGTCTTGCGCTTCCGCTGCTGGTAGTCGGCCAATTCGGCTGGATCGGAGATCTTCTGTTTGGGCGGTGGTGGCAGGATCTCCAGGTCACGCTCCTTGGCTTCGCGCAGCAGCTGCTCCGCCGTAATTTGCACCTCGGCCGGCGCCTTGTTCTTCACCTACAAACGAACAGCAACAAATTCTGAAATCCACTGCACATGTAGCCTGCGCGCCATTAACACTCACCTTGGCCACCTTGGGCATCTTCTGTGGCCGCTCCATGTCCGACTTTTAATGTGTGTTTCCTAGTTTTTCCTTAACTTAACAACAAATTGCAAACAAATCGGTAAATAAATGCCACAGACAAAGTAGGAGGAGGTGAGCTTATCGATAAAATATACCGACAGACCCTTGTAAATATACCCTTGCATTTTCAAAATATACCATAGTCTTAATTCATATTCCTCGATTTTTATGTTCTATTTGATATTACCAGCTAGTTGGGACTCTCAGCTTTAAAACTGTAATTTTACGCTAATCATCATTACATTCATGCATTCATTTCTTATATACCGATATAGCAATGGTCACCCTGATGCCTCAAACTAAGTAGAGATGTGATCCAATACATCGATATATGTATCTGTTTTTTTTGTGCGAAATTAATTATTGTCAAATTAAGTTTTGTGTTTTATTTAATTAATGATCGTAGTCCACAAGTACTCCACCGAACTTCTGTGAAACTTGGCATACAGACATACAAAAATTATGTGATCGAGAGAAATAGACAAAAGACTTGGTTCCGTGAACCAGTTCACTGGTTCCACTCAACTGGTGGCTGTTTGGGGAATAAATTAAATACGCAATTAAATGTTGCCGTAGGAACATGCAAAACATCTGTTTAATAAACAATTAATAGGCTAGCCGCTTATAAAAATATACAATTATGAAAAAAAATAAAAAAAAATACGAAGCAAAATTGGAATTTATCGAAAAATTCTCCATGAATGACCGTTACGCTTCTCAGACTTCTCCACCAGCCAGTGGTTAGGGTTCATCAGATATTCGCTGTAATGGTTAGAAATAAGTGATGCGATTGTCTATGGCTGAAACAAAACCCACCGATGCTCGACCAAGGCCTTCTTTGTGTGGGTTCGCAGCGCTTCCAGGGACCCAGCCGAGCCGCCGTACTCCTCCGGCAGCATTTCGCGCGGCACAAAGGCATAAAGCGAATCCATGCTGACGGTATGAAAGCGTATCTGGAATGGAATTCCGTATGAGAATCTCGCATGAGAATCTGTAGGGGCGAATCTGAGAAAGACGCACCAACTTGAAAACTTCATCGCTGATGAAGGGCTTCACCACGCTCACGATTCGATCGAGATACGATGGACAGTTGACCATGTGAATGGCCCGGAGACGTACTGGAAATGCCACCTGTAGGAACTTGATGTATGCACGCAGCGTGCTGATGGTCAGTCGCGATATGTGCCGCATTGTGGTGCCCTTCATGTCAAAGATTTGCACCTCGCCCTCGGACAGAATGTTCGGTCGGGCTGCATCGTCCGGCGTGACAAAGCGACAGTCGGCGACCATGAAAAACGCGCGCGTGTCTTCCGTGTGATGCATCTGTGGAGTAGAGACTCTCAGTTGTGGCCCGGACCCAGTGCAGATTGCTCTGCCCTCACCTTTGTGGCCTCAAACTCCCGGAAGCAGTACAGCGACACCTTGCTGCCATCTGGCGTGAGGCCTGGCAGGGGCAGTATGTCCCTGAAATAATGCCATAAATCAATCTGTGGACCACTCTCTGGTCCTCTGGTCTCCTGCTTACGCATAATCAAAGGTTCGCTTGCTGTCATCGTCCAGGGGATCCCGCTTGATGAACAGATGCGGATGACGATTGCGCAGCGAGTAATTCACCTCGATGAGCTTCTTGGTCTCCTCCACGTCCCCGTACATGCACTGATAGAAGCGACGCAGCAGCAGGGGATCTGTGGGTAGTCCATTCAGCATTAGTTAAGCATTAGTGCCCCATCAATGACGTAACGCGGGCTGGTGGGCATCGCAAATATTGATGATGGTGCCCGTTCTGCCTACTAACGACCTCATTAAAAACTGATGCGACGTGCTGGGGCCTGCTATGCAGCGGTGGGTGGTGGGAGGAGAGGGATGGGACTCTACCATATGGACGCTTTATTAGCGTCACTGCCTTATTTTCACACCTTGCCGCTGGCTTTCCCTGCCCCTTTTTCCTTACCAATCTCTTGCGGCAGCTTTTCATTTTGGTGGAACCATTCAACAAGTTCGTTTAGATCGCGCCTCAGCTGTGTTCCGTTCTCGCCTTCGGCGCTCATTGTGCATCGGCCGAATCGATACGCCTTGCTATCGACTGGGAGTGGTATCGGTGCTGCTATCGATGGCTGGGTATCCTGTACTATCGCTGGTCAGGGCGCGGCGATGAGGCAAACCGTTGAGCTTGGAGCCTGGCGGGCAACTGGCATGCTTTGGGGATTGACTTCCTATACATATCATAACTATTGATTGCTGTGCTGCTGTGTTGCTGTATTTCTGTTGCGTAGCCGATTATACACGTTATATTTTAATTGCTTTTCGCCAGCATTCGGCTATGGGCTGCCGCCGCTTAATAGTGCCTAAATATGACTTGGAACGCCGCCTCTCCCAGCCTGGGCCAAGTACAGCTTCTGTGAGTAGAGCTCAATCTGCGCCGAAATCTGCCTAATTGCCGGATCGTGTTCTGCATTTAGAAACCAAATGAAACGGCTGTATCGTCATTATAGTTACCTGATCTCTATGGTCATCATTGGGCCCGATCTTACACTAAATGGAGGTCATTAGGCCCAAACCGAAAGCGTCGCAATTGAATGGCTCATTTGGATAGCTAATAATCTCTGGCCCTGATATAACAAACGAAAAGAGCTCGTAGAGTACAGAGGGACAGGATTGATGTCCGCATAGGGTGACAAATATGACGGAGAAGGATAGCAAGTCCATGTCATCGATATATCGATATAGTTATCGGAGAAGTGCGCGAGACTAGCTAGTTTTGAAAAAAGGAAGCTTCGTTGAAATGCTAAATTTAAAGTGGATTATATTTTCATCTAAGCCTGGGCTCGTACTACGCGTACTACAGTGTTACGTACCAATACCAATATAGTGAAATGTTACGTTTTGCGTGCGTCTTCACACACAAACGCAAAAACGGCTCGTTAATTGTATGGGTGCCGAGCCCTGATTCTAAAGACAAAAAAAAACAATAATGGAAACGCGCATTGATCACATTTGAATATCACGACATGGGGCCGGAAGAGTGCAAACTCTTGGCAGCGAGCTGTCCTCCTCCCGTCAAAACCAGGACCAGCGACTTTTGCTCAGCGATGTTACCTTCCAGTAACGCTCATCTATCAAGTAGCCGCTGGCAGAGAGAAACAGAGAATTAGTTCTGAATGCATTTTCAGCTATTCGTTCCTTACCTCTTCTCCTTGATGGACTGTATGCCCCTGGCCTTGAGCTCCGCGATGCTGCCAGCCTTGCCACCATACTCCTCGGGCAACATATCCTTCGGCACTTGCCGGTACAGGCTCTCGATGCCCTCGGTGTGGTAATGGATCTGTCCAAATGGGAGCACAGTTTAATAGTTAACAATGAAAAGATATGTCCCCATTCGGTCGTACCATATTCCGCACTTCCTCGCGCAGGAAGGGCGACATCATGGAGATGAGGCGATCCAGATATGAGGGACAGTTGATCACGTGCATGGCTCGAAGTCGCGAGGGATATGCCTCCTGCAGGAACTTCATGTAGATGCGCAGCACGAAGATCGAGACGTAGGCCAAATGCCGCAGCGTGTAGCCCTCGATGTCGACTATCTGCACGTCTCCATCCGCAATATCCGAGTCGTCTAGCTCGCCGAGCTCGCCCTCCCCTACTTTCGGCTCAACGTCCGGCATCGTGAAGCGAGCGTCGCTCATCATGAAAAAGATTTTGGTTTCCTCCACAGAATTGCGCTGTCAATAAAAAAAGGAAACTGAAGGAGAGCGTCGGAGATAGTTAGAGTATTCGGCGTACCGTGTTTGGATCAAGGTCAGCCATGCGAAAAAATAGCAGCTTGTTCCCCTCTGGCGTCAGTCCCGGGAGAATCAGCAAATCACTGCAAAAGCGAAGAAATCGTTCAATCGTACTCGCTCGTGTCTCTCCCCCGCCTTTACGCTTCGGCACTTACGAGACTCGTAAACCTTTGGCCGTCGTCTCGTCCTCCATGTTGCGGTCGATAAACAAATGCGCATGCTTATTCCGCATGCTGTAATTGAGCTCCACCAGCGGCTTGGTCTTCTCCACATCGTACTGCACGCACTTGAGGAAGCGCAGCATCACAATCGGCTCTGCAGCAAAATTCAAATTAAAATTGATATAAATGTACAGAGCTTAGCGGGTGAAAAGCGTCGCTTGTGCGACCTTTGGCACGATTGCCATTAATTGCCCCACTTCAGTGGTCGTCTAATGCCGTTAAAAGGTTTAGCAGCTCGTTCCGCGTGTATGGAGCGTATCGAGTGGGGTGGGTTAATTGCGCTTCCATTAAATTCCAGACACCACTCGATTGGTTATCAGGCCTCTTCGGGGTTAGGCCTCTAATCGGACACACCTGCTGGGCGCGGGCCTTACCAATCTTTTCGGGCAAATTCGGATTGCTCTCGAACCAGGCCAGCAGCTCCTGCAGCTTGTCGCTCCAGGCGGAATCGTTGCGGCAACTTCTTGCCGTTGCCATCTTGTGTGTGTGTGTCGAATACGTCTTGCTACGGCGGCAAACAATCGCCGACTATGTGCTCATTACCCAAAGCCAATTCCCTTTCCCATATTCTCGTTCCCGGTCAATTGATAAAGCTAACCAGCAGACACACACACACACACACACAAACACACAAACGCAAACAAACCCAATGCAAACACACGAGAATACACAAACACTGTTTGACCAGCTCATTGAATTTTAACGCTGCGATCACGCGAGCGGGCTTTTTGCGAGCTTTCAACGAACACCGCGCGCTCTCTCCAGCTATGACACCGCAAAGCTCGCTCCAGCTACAAATGTAATTGAGCAAAGCTAACGGCGCTGCGCTGCCCTGCGCTGCGCTGCCTGGCTGATCGTTTTCATTGCCAGCTGGCTGCGCATGTGGGTTTAACGGAATTTGTGTGTTTGCGATTGAAAGTGTCTATTTTCAGTGGTCGAAGTTGGAATACACTTTGCCGCGAACAACATTTATAGATACTTTATTGGAATACTGGTGATCAGACATCTATATGCATATAGTATAATATAATACACATCCAAACACTTGCACACATGTACATGTATGTGTGTATTTATTGTTGT